TCTTCAGTTAAATCCCTGCAAGTGTCAGATTGTCAATTTCATTTTCAAATGCAATCGCTACTTACATGAACTGGTTCGTTCAAACGACTCTACTATCATAGGTGGCAGTGAAGTTGAAATAAAGCCAAATATTGTGTTTTTCCACTAATCATCACTTCGTCTGGTCTTCCCATGTAATGTTAGCTTTTAGGACGGCAATTCGGTTGACGTACTATGCAAGGAAGTTAAAACAATGTGGTATCATCACTCACTTTCCCCTTTCTGAGTTTGTTAATTCATGTATTCTACACAGTCTTCTCTGTTTCTCCTACCCTTCAATCTTCCCTGGGCTACTTAAGGAAGACTTTCTTACAGTGCAAAGGACACTAGAAGCTTTCAGTAGGGCGAGTGTTGTGCCACTAAACCAACTTGTTAATTCTATTGGAGATAGACACACATGCAAGAGATAAGCGAATGTTACCTTGTCGAATTCTGAGCATTCTCTCTATACACAACTCTCTCCTTGCTGCATCTCATCAGGTAGGTGAGCTTGAAGAAACTATGGAAGACTTTATTCTAGGACGACTACGAATAAACGCTCTTCAATACCTTATTTAACCGGTACACATTTCATGTGATGACAAAAGTGTGTTGTTGGTAATAGATGGTTGGAGGCAATCGGCCACAAAAAGCCTTGGACGTAGGTTTCGTGCTAGTTGGCACTCATCAGCAAGGCTTATCTGCAACCTTGAACCGGCATGGTGGCCACATTGCAAGCTTGACTGATAGAATTCAGTCAGCACCGAAGATAGGACTAGACACCTTACACTAGTTACTGACTAGTGTGCAATCAAAAATAAAGATGACAAAAGTGTATTAAGTATGACACTACCACCACCTTACTCAGGAACACTAAGTAAACGACCCTGTTATTTTTTCTTTCTTTCATTGATATACTGTTGTAAATATTTCCACTGAAATATCAATTTTATATTCACAATCTTATTTAACAGTATTATGAGTGTGAATTCCGTGTGTAATTAATGCCGCTGTAATGAGAAAATTAGATGCAAAACTAAAGTACTTGCTGATAATTCTATGTTTACATCAAAAGTACTGTTTGGAACAAAGCCACTATTATTATTATTCTTATAAATAGATTTGTATATCAGTAGTCGTTTAGTGTATATGAAAATTACTGCATGTCAATACTTTTGATGTACTCTGTGAGATGTTGCGCTCAATCAACTCAAAATTCAATTATATATATTGCGTTAGGGAGTAAAAGACAAACTGCTCCATTTCGCCTCTTCCATGTGTATCTACCAATTTAACTGCTCTTGTGGTGCCTGTTACATAGGCCATACAATTAGGTGTTTCTCGTCAAATTTCCGAACATCACCCCGCATACTTAAGCAAAGGACAAACAAAATCTATTCTCACCGCTATTCTATCTCATCTTGTGGATACAGAACAGAAGATTGACGTTAACCATGCTTTCAGGGTCATTTACCGCATACCAACAAATCTCAATTTCGCCTTAAGAGTTCGATTACTAAATATTGCTGAGGCTGTGGGGATACGTATTAACAAGCCTAATTTGTGCATCCGAAAGAAGTTACTTCATACATTATCCTTACCTTGGCCATCTAGATTTGAATAATCCTCAATTTTTGTGGAATTTTCCTAATTTTAGTTGATATTCTGTTTGCCATTATATCATTATTATTATAAATCAAGCATCTTTAATGAACTATAATTCCACCGTGATCATACTTTACAAATCGATATTATTTAAAAAGCACCAATATTGTTATTGACTACTAATCTAGAATATTCTATATATATAAACATGCATATATAATTGTAGAGCCAGAGGAGGAGGAATTTATCGAAAAGGATATTCTTTGCTCAATTATTTTGCGTTTTATAGATGTCTGAATGAATATTTTCGCTATATTCTAATAAAAAGTCATTCATTTTGGAACAGTCTGATTGACAATTAGTTCTTGGCATGGAAACAGTCAGATTATTGGCAATACTTGACAGAATTCTATTTCATCATAATAAGGCAAGCCATGTTAGAAGAACGGAAACCGTAGAGGAGGAAGAGCAGTACCTTGAGGAACAATACCTATAGTAAATAAAACATTGGAGGACTTCCAGTTATCTACATCATACATTGTAATGAGAGCTTCATTGTTTTGTGTGGATATTGATTGATACTTTATGATACTTCTTTCTATGATCACTGAATACTACACTCTCCTTCATGATTTCATCTGCCTTCTGAAGATTAAGTCATAGAATTTCACATAAAATCATGGTACAGATAAATTCATATGCAGACTTTGATTTTCGGTCGAACAGTGAATGCTTCTCACCTTTTATTGATCATTTCTGTAATGAGTATATATATATATAGTGTTTCCAACACTGTGAAAGTGTCATATCCACATATCTCCAGCATATTTTTGGTGTAGGATTAAATGTTGTATTAATGGCAATATTTTCCGAGCTATCTTTAAAGATATCTGCCATAATAGGGGATATTGGTGATCATCCACCCCATTGCTACAGCTTCTGTTTGTTGATATATTTTGCCCCGGAATTTAAAAACAGTAGATGTGTTAGAAACAGAACATATCTGAAGCTTTTTGACACATGCTCACATAAACTCACATTTGAATCGGAAAATGAACAAGGAGAATTAGCCATGTTAAATTACTGCAAAATAAAACGAAGAGAAGAAGGTAAACTTCACACTAGTGTTAATAAAAAACCAACGCATTCTAATAGATATTTAGACTTTAACTCATCTCATCCGTTAACTATTAAGGCAGGCTTAGTTAAGCATCTGTCTAACAAACCGAGTAGTAGCACTAAGTAGTACGAGAAAAGACCCAAACGATGAAATGAAACAGATAGAAGAGGCGTTAGTGTTGAATAACTATCCTATAAAATTCATTAGGACTATCAGAAAAGGTATACGGCAAAATAAAAATAATGTTGAAACTAGTAATGATAACATAAGTAAGACAGAATATACGACATGTACATTGGTTCTACCATATACGGAGAGGACATTCAAACCAACAAATTTACTCAGGTATGCCAAGCTCTGTAGGCTAAAAGACCCGGTGGACCCAATTAAACAAAATAATATAATTTACAAAATACCCTGCAATGACTGTGAGCAAGTTCAAATACATAGGTCAAACTTGTAGATCGCGGGTAGTGAGATTATACAAACACAGGAATTTAGCCGAGGTTAGAAATGTTTGATCTCACGAAGACAAGTAATTCAGAGAAAAAAGAACCCAGCAGTCGCATTGCATGCATTAACACACAACCACACCAAAAGAGTGGTTGGGACAGAGTCACAATTCTAAAAGGTAATATAGGTAGGTGGTGATAGAGAGAGAGTGATTACTGAATCCTCGTTCATCGAGTCTACACCCAACACATGCAACAGAAATGACTCAATGCAAATACCAGAGATATGCATGGAAGATATTATTACCACCAGTCAGTCAGTCAAATAAGAGGAGGATAATAAATAATCTCAAAATTCTATTTCAATTCAATTCACGTACATCATAACATTCTAACAAGTTACTCATTTTGACTATAAAAACACTCGTCTTATTTCCCATCTGATTGTATTTGATTGATAACACTCATACTATTATTGCTGAATGTATATTATCTTATACTGATTTTTATTCAAATGTCTAATCATCAATTTCACTCATGTATATAGATGAAGCGTGAAAGTTGTGTGAGTAAGTGACTTGATATGATTATGAGCAGCAACAATTTGTGCTCGAAACGTGTGGTCATCAGTTAATATTACTGTATAACACTGTGTGACCTTATCAAAATCAAATCTTATTCATAATGGAGTTATACTCTACCACCACAGTGCCCAAGTTTTATACTTATATCAATAATAAATATACTATTATTATTATTATCATCATCATAAATAGATTTGTATATGAGTAGTGATTTAATGTATCTGAAAATTACTGGATGTAAATATTTTTAATATTGCAAAAATATTCATTCAGACATCTATAAAACACAAAATAATCGAGCAAAGAATATTCTTTTCGATAAATTGCTCTTCCAGGCTCTACAATTATATATATATATATATATATATATATATATATATATACCAATCTAACTGCTCCTGTGGAGTGAGCCAGTTACATAGGACGTACAATTAGGCGTGTTTCTCGTCAAATTTCCGAACATCACCCTGCCTGGTTAAGCAAAGGTCAAACAAAATCTATTCTCAGCGCTATTCTGGCCATCTTGTGGAGACAGAACACAAGATTGACGTTAATCATGCTTTCAGGGTCATTTACCGCATACCTACGAATCTCAATTTCGCTTTAAGAGTTCGACTTCTAAATATTGCTGAGGCTGTGGGGATTCATATTAATAAGCCTAATTTATGCACCCAAAAGAAGTTTGTTCAGTCATTATCATTACCTTGGCCATCCAGGTTTGAATAATCCCGAATTATTGTGAAATTTCCCTAATTTTAGTTGATATTCTATTCGCTGTTATATCTTTATTATTATTATAATTCAAGCATCTTTAATGAATTGCAATAGCTTTGATCATACTTTACAAATCGATATTATTTAAAAAAACGCTAATATTGTTATTAACTACTAATTTAAAATATTCTGTGTATATAAACATTTGTATATATAATTGTAGAGCCTGGAAGAGGAATTTATCGGAAAGAATATTCTTTGCTCGATTATTTTGTGTTTTGGAAATATTTTTGATGTACTCTGTTAGATTTTGAGCTCAATCAACTCAAAGATTTCTTACTTATGCATTGTTAACCAAGGGTTAAAATATTTAAAATAAAATCAAAAATGTTATTTAATGGGTATGTTGCATTTGTCATAAGGGCGTTAAAATGGCTGCATAGTATAAGCTTAGCTGTTAGTCTAGTGTAGTAAGTACTGTGTAGAAGCAATTTTATGTAAACATACCTCATCTTGTTTCTGTTAAAAAAGTCAAATACAAATTGAAGAAGCAAAGACCAGTAAATTTACCATCACTATAGCAATTAAAATCAGAAGCAGTTAGCTAACGAGTTAGTTCTTCCATAAGCAGTAGATGTATGTGTGGCCAGTAAATATTAGGTGCGAAAAGTAACTTAGAAATAATACAGCTTGAGAACTACATACTACTACTGGGTTTACTAGCCAGGCCAATCGAAACGCTGGATGACCGTTTTGTTCGTCTGGTGGCGAGCTGATCAGCGGCGTACCTGGTTTATCTCAACTTATAGAGCTGAATCACTTCGAACTAGTTGACTTCTGGCTGCCTACTTGGTCGAACTGTTCGTATATTACCATAAAGCAAATTCACTGCTTGTAAATTGCTCAGCAATTCTCCATACACACAGTTCTAGGGGTGGAAATTCACCGTAGTTTTTTGGAAAACAAGTTATTTAGATCATACATAATATATGATTTGTTTGATAAGATGAATAGTTATCACAACATATGATCTGAGTGACTTGACGAGAAGTCTGTGTGAGAGTCAACAGCACTCAGCATCAAAAATAACATCCGGATTTTCAACTCCAATGTGAAGTCATTCCTACTATACGGATCAGAGACTTGCACTGCGCGTCACAAAGAGCATCTCAAACAAACTACAGACCTTCATAAACAGTTGTCTTCGCTCAATACTCAAGATCAGATTGCCGGCTAGAAAAGATCAGCAACAGGGATCTCCGACAATGAGCGAGCCAACCCAGCAGGAACTGATTGTGAAACAAATAAGCAGAAAGAAATGGAGATGGATTGGCTGGCCATACTCTGAGGAAACCATCAAGTGACATCACTAGACAAGCCATTGCTCGACTGGAACCCGAAAGGAAAGCGGTAAGTTGGTCGTCAGTGCAAGGGTGACTTGGAGGAGGTCATGTGAAGAGGAGATGAAGGCGTGTGGGCAGACTTGGAGCCAGGTGAAGACTCTAGCAGAGAACCGAATGCAATGGAGACGTGGGGCTGAAGCCCTATGTTCGTCTAGGAATTAAAGGAAACAATAATAATAACTTGACGTGAAGTAGAAACTGCGGTGAAATTTTATCGCTTGAACTTTGTAGATTACAAATTGTGAATTGAGCACTAGTTTGAGCTACATTCCAAGCTTCTGTAGCAGTGGACTGACACAATTCTGTACTAACCCGAGTTCTGGATAATTAAGGTATTTGTCTCAGGATTTCATCATGAATTGGACATTGGTTAGATGACCGTTGAAAAACCTGGGAGCACTGATGTTCACGAATGACTAACCCTAATCAGGTAGGTAGGTAAGTATCTGGGTTCTAGTATGAAGTCGTGACAAGTGGGGTACAACGGGTCGGATGTGAGGACAAATACTCGCGCCACTGATGACATTCGCTAGTGGTAACCCCATATCATGAATTGGCAGAAGTTCGGAATTCATGGGCTGGTCATTGGATCGGGTCCCAGTGGCTTTATGGTCTACGAGCTCACCTAGTAACTAGAAGGTTCTGGGTTCGAACCCTCATGGAGGGTGCGTTCTGATGAAGGGTCTCAAAATGTTTTTCAATGTAAGCCTACAGTCGCTACACGAAAAAGCATGTTTTATGGCAGAACGTGAACAGACACTCTTCTACAAAAACACAAAATTAAGTAGAGATTGACTCACTCCGCATATAAAAAAGGAATGTGCATGTAAACCCTGTAGATGTAGAACACCAAAGTTTAACATCATTAAACCTATAACCAATTATATCCCTACTGCTTATTATTTATTATTATTTATTTAAACGCAGAAAAACTTGGTACAATATGGCACCAAGAAAGATGCGCCACACATTATTGTGTGAGGGCTGAGATACTGCCCGGGCGCCCAGACCGAAGCAGGTGGTTTTCCTAAGGGACTACCCCCCAAGCCTTTGACTTGGAGTCTAATCCGCAAGGCAGCGGAGCAGCGTCAGGAGCTGCGTTCCCATGGTTGCCGGTGACCCATATGGGTTCATACGCCATTTGATCCGATTGAATTCTGGAGCCCATGTACCCCATGGTAACTGCTTTTAGTCTAACCGCTATCCAAACAACCTTCCTGACATGGTAGGACCTGCAGGGACATAAGTCTCAGCCAGCTTAGCTTGTTGAGTCACTGCGCCATTCAAGCCCGACCACCACGGCAAGGTAGCAGTTATCGGTCGGGTTAAACATTATCCCTACTGCAAACCAACACTTCATAATTATTCTGATGCTCACAGACGTCCCACTGAGAAGTCCTAAACATCAGTGGGGTCCATCAAGTCATATAAGAGATCAGTGACACGACTTTGACACCGGCTGGAGGTTGCGCTATATTATATGTCGCGAGTTGGAATGAAGTTGGAATTCAGGCGTCAGTGGCTGAATGGTCTACGAACTCACCTAGGCCACCGGAAGGTCACAGATCCAAACCCCTTTGGTGGGTGTCTACTGTGAAGAGTCCTAGACTAGGACGAAATAGCTGCTGGTTACCCAATGGTTCTCTAACTGGTGTTGACTCGTGATCAAACCTGCAGTCAATGCTGAATCATTTGTATACAAAGTTGGACTTTGTTGAATACCCCTTTCGAAGACAACTTAGTTTTTATCTAATACCCTGAAATGATTGTCCATTGAAAGTAGTAGAATGGGGTCAATCAGACTAGCAGAGCAGCACAAAAACCTAATAAAATCTAGACTGGTTGACCTCTTTAATAAGATAAGAAATCTTAAAAACAGTTCAGCCTATAGCATTACATGCAATTACACACAACACCACTATGAAATACCATGGGATAAGATGAGAATTTTTAAAATACAGTATAACAGTATGAACGTAGGGATTGATAACGGAAGCTTTATTCATTGAGTTAACTAAGAATACGTGTAATGGAGGAAAGGAATCAACACCTGTTCAGGCGGAAATCTGGAAAGTTCTACTACCCCTACGACGGATAGGAAGGCATAAAAAAACCATAGAAACTCGACATGGCCACTCTGGTAGAGTATAACTCCATTATAGATAAGATTTCATTTCGATTAGTCACACAGTGTTGTACAGTAATATTTACTGATGACCACGTCTCGAGCACAAATTATTGCTGCTCATAATCATATCAAGCCATTCACACAACTTTTTTCCTTCATTTGTTTACATGAGTGGAACTGATGATTCGATATTTGAATAAAAATCAATATAGGATAATGTACATTCAGAAATAATAATATGCGTGTTATGAGTGAAATACAATCAGATGGGAAATAAGACGAGTGCTTTTATAGTCAAAATAAGTAACCTGTTAGAATGTTTTGATGTACGTGAATTGAAACAGAATACAATTTAAGATCATTTATTATCCTCCTCTGATTTGACTGACTGGTGGTAATAATATCTTCCACGTATATCTCTGGTATTTGCATTGAGTCATTTCTGTTGCATGTGTTGTGTTGGGTGTAGACTGGATGAACCAGGATTCAGTAATCAATCTCTCTGTATCTCCAACTACCTATATTACTTCTTAGAATTTTGGTTCTGTCCCAACCAAGATATTCGTGATTGTGTTTTAATGCATGCAGTGCGATTGTTGAGCTTTTTTCAAAATTACTTGTCTTCGTGTGATCAATCATTCCAACCATATCTAAATTCTTATGTTCTGACAGGCAATCTCACTACTCCTGATCTACTAGTCTGACCTATGTATTTGACCTCGCTCACAGTCATTGCAGGGTATTTTGTAAATTATATTATTTTGTTTAATTGGGTCCACCGGGTTTTTTAGCCTACAGAGCTTGTCTAAAGAGTAAAATAGGTGAGTGGAGAGAGAGATTGATTACTGAATCCTGCTTGGTTCATTGAGTGTACACCAAACACATGCAACAGAAATAACTCAATGCAAATACCACAGATATGGAAGATATTATTACCACAAGTCAGTCAAATCACAGGAGGATAATAAATAATCTTAAAATTCTATTTCAATTCACATACATCATAACATTCTAACATACTATTTTATTTATTTATTATACATGTTGATGCCTGTTGCATGACTCATGATTGGACAAAGTTTAAAAAACAAGAGTTGTTCCTTTTATATATAAACCTCTGTTATGTTAATTTCGATTAATTTCCCTGAAGAAGTTCGGACCAGATTGCCGAACGAAACGTTGGAATTAATCATTTCAATTTCGCTGAGATTTTACAAATATAATTTTATAAAAGTTCTAACAAGTTACTTATTTTGACTATAAAAACACTCGTCTTATTTCCCATCTGATTGTAATTGATCAGTAACACTCATATGATTTGAAAATCCCGGATCGCATTTACATACAATTTTGTTTGTGTGTGTGTACATCAGATTTATAAAGTTTAGATAATTATATTACGTAATTATCTAAACCTTATAAATCTAATGTACACACATACAAACGAAATTGCATATAAATGCGATTGTACAGCTCAGTGAATGAATTCGCCGAAAAGAGTCTCTTCGTTGAACGCCTTCTTTTCTTTCATATGACTCATATTATTTCTGAATGTACATTATCCCATATTGATTTTTATTCAAATGTCTAATCATCAATTTCACTCATGCATATGAATGAAGGAAAAAAGTTGTGTGAGTAGCTTGATATGATTATGAGCAGCAATAATTTGTGCTCGAAACGTGGTCATCAGTTAATATTACTGTATAACAAACACTGTGTAATTTATCAAAATAAAATTTTATCCATAACGGAGTTACAAAAACTCAAGTTTCATAGGTGTGTAGTAATTAATATACAACTGCATACTGCCACAATGCGCTGCTCAAGTTTTTTATACATATAATAAATTTGGACAGAAACTCACACATCATGATAACAGAAAATCTTAGTATTACGCATCTTAGTTACTGCCAACCTCTTCAACTGAAGAAAACTGGCGAATAGAAACACTCCCTCAATAAACAAAATTAAACGGCGTTCAACGTTCGTTCAACGCGTATCCTGTCAAAAAGGGTCAAAGAACACTATCCAGCATGGCTACAGCGAGGAAGCAATGGCTGCATAAGGAATGCAATAATAGAACACCTCGTCAACACTGGTCATTCCATCTCAACAAACGCCTCCCGCTTCAAATTAATCTACAAAGTGAAGAACAACTTTCCAAAGACAGTACGATTCCGTCTTCTTTGCATCGCAGAGGCCCTAGCCATTTAGCTAGAGGAACCAGAACTGTGCATACAAAAGAAAATTATTCAACCACTTCTACTCCCATGGTAACAACTGTGTTGATTTGACTTAACTTTTGTTTGTATGCTTATTTTTCTACTCAAAACCCTTGTGTAATTCCGTATGTTATTTTGTTTCCATGTACACCCTGAGTACAACTCTTTCATTAAACTATTCATGTTATTACGTAACTCTTCTGTAACAATCGTTTGTGACAACTCATCAATTTTGTTACTACTCTCTTATATCAACATCCAATTGTATTTTCGTTTGACAAATTTTATGTACACACACATACAAAATTAAAACAAGCAAATTTGTATTCAGCAAGCACAGGCGTTAGCAGTTACAGCAATTCGGTTAAACTGCAGCTGACATAGCAAAAAAAAGAGACATAAAATAAGCTATGCTTCAACTATACATATATATATATATGTGTAGCTTTCTTCTTTCAAGTTAGTTATCACTACATGCATATTGAAACACGCAGATTTTTTTGCTTTATTTATTTATCTATTTACTCATCAAAGGCGCAGCGCACAGCAAGGCAAAGCAAATGCATTTCACGCTACCTACACGATGATCAATCCACGGAGTAGACTGTGGTTCATGAAACACCCTTTTCATTAAGAACTCCTATTTTTGTGTTTCAACAGAAAAGAAAAACAGATTGGTTTTGTTTGTTTGAATAATTTTGATTTAGTAGAGCAAAAAATAGTGATCATGCTTCCCTTTTTTACCTTTTACCTTTCATTAATTATTATTATTGTTATTGTCCTACTTTATGCGGTCGTCTTGAGTTATTCCCACGATTGCCCATAGTCTCCCTTCTTCTCATCTATGTCACTCTCAGAACCACGCTAGAGCGATGACCTGACGCGGATGCCACCCAACGGTTTCCTCAATGTGTATTCACCGATCCATCTGCATTTTCCGTCAGGAATATTTATTGAGCAATAGATTCTTGACTGGCATTGTTTCCACAGTTTCTCATTTGTTAATTCTCTTTGGTCAGCTGGCCATCTAATCGTCAGTATGGAGCTAGCTGTTGAAAATGCTTTCCTTGATGCGCTGTCCAAGTTTTTGAGCCATATGGAAGAAGTGACTCACTTAACACTGGTATTGAAAATCCGAATTTCATTGTTGGTGCTGCAGAGTGCATAAGATTTCCAAATTGATTTCAGAATGACGAAGGTCTATCTTGTCTTCTTTATCCTGGCTGGTTTTAACATCCTCATCTATGCTGGCCGACTGTAGTTGAAACGATGCTACCTAGCCCAACAAATAAAGGAAATAATTTAACTAATCGAAAGAATTTGCTTGTAACCTGACGCTCACTTCATTATTATTATCATTAATCCTTTCGGTTCCGAGTGGAAAATAGGGTGTCAATGGACGTGAACATTGAACGTTTGTTTGTTGGAACTGGCAACCATTGGTGGGCAATTCAAAGGCGCGAATGGTTCGATCGCTTGCAAGTTGAAGGAAGACGGGAACAAAAACGAATAAAAGTACTTTATAACTTCATTTGTACCTAACATTTGTTTGTAGACTTTGTAGTTTTCTTCACTTTAATTGCCAAACAATATAATTTCGTTCAAGGAATACTGGTGTTTTGGATTTAAAGTTGAAGAACGTACATAGTATTTATCGGTTCAAAACGAAAACGTCTTCATTAGAATAGGAACTTAGGGCTAAGTTCCCTGACATAGGGCTTCAACAACACATCTCAACTTTGTTCTCTCCTCTGATGTCCTCTAAAGTTGGCCAGCATCACGACTACCTATAATCTCTCATCTACTCCCCCACACACCATCTCCTCTTTGTCATCCTTGCACCGACCATCCACCCAAATCTTCGCTTCCAATTCGGATTCTACTCGAACGATGGCCTGCATTTAGCGTGATGTCATTCGACGGTCTCTTTCCTCAACATATGCCCAATCCATCTCTTGGTTGATTTATTGCCAGAGTTTCTTGTTGCAGCCATTTGATCTTCAGTATGACAGTCACTTCATTAGCTTGTTTTCTAATGCACACAACTTTTGAAATTAAATATACGCGCCGTCTGAAGTCTTTCTGCTTCTTCTTCTTCTCATAAATGGTGACAAAAAATTTGCTAAAACATCATAATTATCTTCGTCGTCCTAAAAATGAACTGTGTATGTTTACTCAGAGTTTAAGAATAAAAACAAGACACATTGGAGAACTAAATCAGTGCAAAATGGTCAATTTTGTCAATATCTCACCTGGTATTGCTTCGATAATCGTCCAGCGGAAAATGTGATTGACCGACGTAGAGAATGCGAGTTCTGTTGAGGTGATGATGGCTACAGAATATGGAAAACACGAGAGAAGATATAAATAATAAACAAATAACTGATTAATAAAGCTAATAATTTCAAGTTTGATCACACAGATTAACATTACCCGTTTCGTCCCGATTTGGGGCTCTTCGTCAGTATGCACCCATAACCTTACCGAGATGAAATAGCTGTCAAGTATTCCCTGGTTTTCATTGCGTCTATAAGTGATATCAACTCACGGTCAAACTTCAGACCATTCATATCATTACAAATTAACACTACAAAATTAACCTGACGCTCACCAGTGATTGGCTATACGGCGAAGTTACCTAGAATTCTGTTATAACTTCATGACCAGTGGAGTACAGCTATTGGCATTACCTGGCGAAAGCTCTAAAATTATTACGAACTGAAAGAAGTTAGAATTTATGGGTCCCTGAAGGGGTCATGGGTGCGTACACCTAAAGAGCCTCAGGATAGGACAAAACAGACGTCCCATTATCCTCGGTTTTCAGTGGTTCTCTAACTAATATCAACGTGTTATCACAATTGAAAGCATTCATATATGTGTAGAGTGACAAGTGAAAATCAATAATTCAGGTGTTGGTTTCCAGGGATCTCACTGGTCACAGGATTTCATCATGAGCTGGCATTGGTTAGAGAACAATTGGAAAACCTGGGAATACTGGACAGTCGTTTCGGCCTAGTTTAGGCCTCTTCATCGGCACGCATGCTGACACTGAACATGAGAACTGAATTGACTGGTAAATTCATACAATCTGTCGCAAACGTTTGTTCATTTAAAGGAGAATGATGTTCAGCGAAAAGAGTTACCCTTTTCAGCTATATTATTCTCAAGCTGTACAATCACATATACATATAATAGTAAATTTTCTTAGCAACAATAGGGAACCTAAAAGGCATCCCTGATTTTTTCAGCAGCTGCTACCCTGCAATCCCCTTCACATTACGAAAGGAGTCCAACTCAGAAATATTTTTTCAGGATGTCTATTTTACCAGACGTGAACAAGATGGAACACGAAAAAGATCCACCTACAGGAAGCCAACATGAAACAGCCAACTAAATAAGTTTCATAATTGGATGCCATTATATATACAAAACGAAACCTTGATCCGTTCATTGAGCCATGGAATATTCAATATGTGCAGTCCTGACACTGGTGAAGAGGAGCTGAACGCTTTAAAAAAAATTCCGCCCAAAAACGCCTAATCTGAACATTTCATCACAAAATTCATGGGGCTCACACTTTCTGCTCCTAAAAGACCTCTCTATTTTAATCTACATTTTAATGGAGACTCACCACCTGTTCCAGTCACTGAAGACGAAACTTTCTCCACAAAACCAATGGCTGACATGAAAGTGAAGAGTAAGCTACCATCGCTGACCCCATCGTGTGCATTCATCACTTCTCCTGCTCATATGAAGCTACGTATGTCAGCCGTTTCCATCGTTTCATATCCGAACGTATCGCTGAAATCTTGCTTCCATGATTTTATAAAGGGCCACCCGCAACTCTATCCTGGAACACTTGATAAGAGCTGGACACCAAGCTAACCCAACAAGGCACTTAAAAGTTATCTACAGAATAAGCGAGTATCTTGCTAAAAGAGTACGAATCAAACTTCTTCAAACCGAAAAAACAATGGCAATTCACATGTTAAAACCCAAACTCTCCATACAAAAGAAGTTTGTTCAGTCAATAAGTCTACAAAGGATCTGATCCGTCTTAACACAGAATGGGTGGTTCGTGTGTTTGTCATTTTTAGTTGTGTAATTTTCTTCCCTCACGCCTTTTAAACTTCTACCCCTTGTTACCACTGTCGTTCACTTGACTCTCATGCAATTTTTAGTCGAGTTCTACTCAATCCCGCCAATTTTGTCAGACTCTGAGCACCCACTCTACCAGCAGCTCCAACCTTGTGTCTCCTCCTCAGGTAAAACAAGAAGTCTTTTCAGAAGACTTTATGCACGCACGTCTAACTATAAAAATTCCACTATACCATATTTAGCACGTACTTTATATGATGAAAATAGCGTCAGAAATGAATTAAGTAACCTTCTTAGCACCACTAAATAAACCATTTCCTTCACTTTTAAAGCATCATACTTTATTGTTATTGTACTTCTTATATTTATAATCCTCTCAATTTTTTCGTTTTGTTTATTTTTTTCTCATAAGTGTGGACATAATTTTAAGCTGTATTATGACTGTTAACTTTGTATTTCCCCTCACTATACTATATCAACAGAACATTAGACCCAATAATCTATAACATACTAAAGTTTCCAAACTGAATCTACAATACCGTTTGAGACAAACACTGTTATTATTATTGTTATTATTATATCTAATAATTATGTCGTAAATGTGGACAAATTCCTCCGATTAATTTTGTTTTAATTTTTAATTTTATATACGTTTTGAGTAAATCAGATGCAATATTGTGACAAATACTGAGAATTCCATTCTGTATTATAAGTACTGTTTTTGGAATAAAGTAAATTATTATTATTATTATTATTATTACTATTATATTACGTCACTCACTTTACTTACATAATCTTAGTTTCGACTTGACCACCTTCGTTATATTACGTAATTTGTTATCTAAAAAATTTACCTTTTTAATGATACCTCTTTGGGTATATTCCTTTTATTGCTAAGAAAATTCACTACATATTTCTGCCATTGGACAGGAGTAACTCTTCACTGAACGTCATTTCTTTTTGCATGACTTAATAGGCATTTCTAATTATTTGTTCAATTTGATTGGCTTGAGGGTTTCATCATGAGCTGACATCAGTTAGAAAACCATTGGAAAACCTGGGAGTACTGGACAGCTGTTTCGTTCTAGTTTCGGACTCGTAACCGGTACGCACCCACCAGCGTTCACACCCGGTGGTCGCACTTTGTCATGAATTGCCAGGAGTTAGAATTCATGAGACATTGGGCCGGGTCTACGAGCTCACGTTGTAACCCAGCGGGTGCGTACTCCTGACGAGTCCTATACTAGGGCGAAACAACTGTCCAGTACTCTTAGCTGGTTTCTTAAGGGTTCTCTAACTGTTGTCGGCCTGTGTCAAAACCCTCGAACCAAACAAACACAACCCCTAAAACACCAATACTTGAAAATGTGTTCAGTTTTTGAAGTAGAAGCATGCTAGATCGGAAAATAAATTAAAATGCACAGAATCACACTTTTGGAGTACAAAGAAGAGATTTCTGACTTTTGAATAAAGAAATAACGAACATATTTGCAGGATAATACAAGCTCGTTTTATTCTTTCGATCCTTTTCAGCTGCATGCATCCTGAATAAATCAAATCCTATGTTTCAAAATGGTGTCTGAACATTCTCTTTTACAATGATTTAAATTTTCTATAGTTTGGTCTGTAAGGGTTGGTTATGGCTTTACGAGTTGATCACGGATTGATATCGGTTAAAGAACCTTTGAAAACCAGCGCTGGAGTACTGGAAAGCTCTATAGTGACTTGCTACAGGACAGAGTTCCCTGGAGTTCTAGTGAGAAGTAATGACCAGTGAGGTCCCGCCAGATGTCACGTGTGAGGATGGATGTCTCACCGACGACATTCGTTGGTGCTAGTCGCGGTAAATCACGAATTGGTAGAAGTTAGAATTCATTGGCTGGCCATTGAATCGGGTCCCAGTGGTGGCTGAATGGTATACAAGCCAGCTTGCCTTGTAACAGGAAGGTCCTGGGTTCGAATCCCAGTGGATGCGTACTGCCGATGAAACAGCTGTCTGGCAGTACTCAACTCGTAAAAACAATGATTGCAAGTTATAAATAGAAAGTATAAGCAACATAATTTCAAAGATGATATAGGTAGAAAAAAGTAACTAAAGATAAGATCGAAGAGTAACTCGAAAAGAACCTTATCGAAAATGGCTACCCTTGGAAATTCATATCAAAATATGGGAAGAAAAAACCACCTAAGCTGAAACCTGATATGGTTGAAAAGACACCACTTTTCATCTGTCTAGCGTACAGAGACGAAGAAGTATCCATAAGAATGGAAAACAGAATTAGAAGTACATTGAAGAGAACATTTCCCACCTCTAGACTCATCCCACTTAACAACACAATATGCTCGTTAACGCAGTCAAAAGTAGATAGGTATTCCGCTCATGTCAACTCCGACAGCATTTTCCAGTTCACCTGCACTTACAGCGGCAAGTACATAGGAGGGACTGAGAGGAGTGCATCTACTATATTCTCTGAGAATATCCGTTAAAGTCTCCATTTGAAAGGCAGCAAAGTATTCTCAAGCGCAACGGTCAGGCACCTAATCGAGATGGGACATACAGTGGAAATTGGTTAGGCTTTCAAAATAGTCAGTAAACATAGAAAAGCATGGTTACCCCAGTTTGTAGAAGCCATTTCCATCACATGACTTCAACCCAACCTATGCATACAGAAATGGAGTGTAACTAGTCTGTCACTACTCTGGTAACCATAATTGTTTTGTTAGTGCACTTTTGTGTTTTGTTCTTTTGCGTAACATTCCACTTAATCTTGATTTTGATTTTCACTCACTGAGTTGAACTCACTATAAAGGCTCCAAATCTACTAAATTAAATTATTATTACTTCTTTTAATTCCTAGAGGAACATAGGGCTTCAACCACACGTCTCCATCGCGTTCCGTTTTCTGCTAAAGTTTTCACTTGGCTCCAAGTCTGTCAACATGCTTTTATCTCCTCTTCACATGACCTCCTCCAAGTCACCCTTGCACTGACGACCAACTCCCGCTTCCCTTTCGGGTTCCACTCGAGCAATGACTTGTCTAGTGATGTCACTTGATGGTTTCCTCAGGGTATGACCAGCCAATCCATCTCCATTTCTTCTTGCCTATTTGTTTCACAATCGGTTCCTGGTTGGTACGCTCCCAGAGATCTCTGTTGCTGATCTTTTCTGGCTGGCCATCTGATCTTGAGTATTGAGCGAAGACAACTGTTAATGAAGGTCTGCAGTTTGTTTGAGATGCTTTTTATGACGCGCAGTGCAAGTCTCTGATCCGTATAGTAGCACTGACTTTACATTGAAGTTGAAAATCCGGATCTTATTTTTGATGCTGAGTGCTGTTGACCTCCACACAGACTTGAGAGTAGTGAAAGCTTGTCTTGCTTTTCCGATTCTTGCTTTGATATCCTCTTCAGATCCGTCCGCCTGTTTTGAATGGTAGTCAGATTTAGCTATGAAAATTGTGTGCTAAGAAGTTACAAGAATCAAAGTTTCAGCTGGTATTGTAGGCTGTCACGAACGTAAATAAGCAGTAACTTTTGACATCTTTGGGACAAGGAGAGAAGAGAACGACATGCATTAGGAGCTACACGCTTAGGAAATACTTCATAGTATAATATTCTAAGCAGGCGTTTTTCTTGTCAGATATATATACACCCACCCCAAACACATACTACAAACGTAAAATACTAATTTCAACCGCAACTTAAAAATATAAATTTGTTATCTCAGCAATGTAAGACTGATTTCTGAAAACGTATTTAAAGCTTTAACAATAGGGTGTAACATCACCATATTGATTTTTAATCTGCATGATGTTTCATCTATGCTTCTATTAGGCACTTAAATTTCTTGATTAGAAATCCAACTCCTAGAGTAAAACTCCATTATCGGGTGCCTCATATATTCCAGTTAGTTGTTTTACTCACCAAATGTGAATACTAACTGATTTCAACATAGATTTCTGCACCGAAGTACAGCAGTTCAAGCTGCTGTACCTCATGAAGCGCACAAAGCAACACAAAAGAGAAAACAAAAACAGATTCGAGAAAACGACAATAAGCTGAAATCTGAGGAAGAAAGAATACTAATATGGGGAGAAATAATTTTATTGAGTATGGCAGATTACAGAAAGTGAATACTCCTGAGCCAGTGAGAACAATTACCAGTTATATCACCAACTGTCTCCAGCTATTGGTTCTTGGAATCCTTGGGAGTCCTATCAGGCAGGCAACACCACCACATATGATTTAAATAAACAACCAAAGACTTCATGAATTAATCCAAGGCCTGGGTGTAACCACCTTTGACTCTTTTCCAACCTAATGCGATGTCAGTTGACATTTCTTGTCTAGGAAGGCACTGGCTTGGGATGCATGACACACCTTGCGGCTGCTTCGACCTACATACCTTCAGAACCTCATTGACTGATTTTCCCTGCTTACCTAGCACTCGACACATAGCCGTAATACTGCTCACCATGTTATACAACCCAACATGGTAGATAGAATGCAGACAACTATGATCAAAAACAGGCGGCCAGGCCTTTCGTATCTTCCACATTCAATAACTATGTCCCATTCGCAGCCATAAAGGAGCATGTGGCGAACTGCTAAGCAGTACATGCATCCTTTGTTCGACAGCTGGCCGGATATCGGGTAAGTTGGCAAGTGCCAGTCGAGTCTCCCGTGTCCATACCGAGATTTCTTCAGAGATCTCTATGTTGGGACTGGTGCAACATTCCTTACCGCTTTATTCCAAATCTTTAAGCTAGGAATTGGTGTGGTCCAGTCTTGTGGCATCATCTTACACTACACAGGAGGAAATTGCATGTTCAAAATACGCTGAATGACATCAAGCTTTATGAGCATAAGGTATTCCCTTAGTATAAAATACTATTTAAATAAAAAAAGACTGTAAAATAGCCAAAACATATGCTGATACATTAAGAAGAAATTAACAGACCACCTCATAATTATACTATAATATTGCTGAAAGTATAGAAATAGTGGCTAATCACTTAGTGCGAATAAAAACAAAATGATAATATTTCATATATTTGCTAACCGAAATTTGGAAACAAAAATTCCAAACTCTGTACAATCTCAAAGTTAAACGAGTGACACGTTGGACTGATTAGAATTCAAAACAACTTGTTGAGACTCTTGTGCAGGATTACTTAGGAGCTACTAATGTAAACCAAAGGTTGCAAAAACACAGTAACAAGCTCACTACAGAGTAGGACTACATGGACCAACTTTAAATGCTGTAACAACAACTGTTAGAAAATTTAAAGACAACTCAGTATATTAAATATTATAAAATAGAGAAAATCAAAACAAGTGATCCATTCAGCGAAGTGACTCTTTTCAACGAATTTATCATCAAGCTGTACCGTCGTATATATGTGGTTTTTAGGAAGTGAGGGAATTGAATCATAGGTGTGGATGCATAAAATAATAATAGTAGTAGTATAAAATGCAATTAAAACTAAAATGTTTGTGATTATAATCATAGTTAAATGTCAAGTGGCAAAGCAAATTAATGTCATATATAGAATAATTCATAGGATGGATAGAACTTTGAAGAGGTGTGCAATTATAGGATTAGTAGACAAAATAAAAACGTTATGTAAGACTGTGTGGAATTCGATAACATAGAATTTAATTGGAAACATTTATTTCCCGATACGAATTTAAAACAAGCAATAAAGGTTAATAAAGCAGGATTTAATGTATTCATCAAATTTTGGTAGAACTCGTCAGCTGAATACTCTACATACACGGATATATACTTTCGAAATTACATTGGGAGATATAGGACTGATAAGTAAACAAACTACATTGAATTAGTCATGCAGAAAGACAGGTGCGAATGTTTTTCCAGGTCATGTTCAATTAGATAAGGGAAGAGAGAGTATGAGAGATCAAAATTAAGATAAATTGTATTACGCTTCAATTACATCACTTAGATAAACAATTAGACATTAGAGAATTTAACAAGAATTGCAACCAGAGGGATGTCAATAGTAATAGTTATAAAAACAATAATAATAATAGTGTTGAAGTGAGTTAAGATAATGCTACTGATAAAGGATAGTTTTAAATGAATCAAGAATAATAATAATGAGAATAATAATAAAAATAATAATAATAAGAGGTAGAATTATAAGTAAAACGTATTACCATGGTAGATTCAGAGTCACGACCATCTCCTTTTGTACACAGAGACCTGGTTTGCAAACTCGAATTGCACAAGCCTCTGCAATTGCAAGCATCTTCTTGTTTCTTTCTCTGCTGACAATGTTGAATGACTTGACCGTATCGATATCATGCCCGTAATCCACAAGATTCTTTGTTATTGAGGATTTTGGCACTTTACACTCAGCTGTTTTCAACCATTTTGGCAAATGTTCCATCATACGGAAAGGAGATTGTCTACTCGCATGATGGAGCATTTACACCTTTGATTCAATTCCGTCACCGGAGATAACTTCTTAAAAAACCATATATATACGATTGTACAGCTTGATGATAAATTCGTTGAGAAAAGTCTCTTCTCTGAATCACCACTTGTTTTGATTTCCTATATGTTTCAATGGGAATTTTCCATGGATTATAAAATATGTAGAGATGCGTTACAGTACATCGATTAGTTCACTGAATAGACGGACTCTGTATTCGAAGAAATAAGAAGCATCTGACTTCATATGATCACAGATGGGTACATGCGCGCATACTAAAGTTACACAGGTAACAAGGCTGTGAAGAACACTCTAAACTGAGAAGTAGTTACAATAAAATGAAAATAAATAAATAGAACTCCTCCTCTACTTAACAAAAGTCAACTCGAATAAATAATTAAAATACTGACCTCGTTTTCTTAAGCTTAGGGTACATATCATTATAATAAAGGTTTTGTATTTCCCAGTGAATAAATGAAAAACAAAACGATATTATTGTTTTTACTGACGTTTCGCTATTTAATGCTAATAGCTTTATCAAAGTATTATTAAACTGGAATTTACAAAATCTCCTCAGGTCGTATATAACAACTTAATCATCGTTCCTCATTGGCCAGATTGAGAACGCAAAATTGACCCCATGCTGAGGAACGATGATTAAGTTGTTATATATAAGCTGAGAAGATTTTTAAAATTCTGGTTTAATAATACTACTTTGATAAAGCTATTAGCACTATTGACACAACAATATCGTTTCATTTTTCAGTCGTTGGGAAATACAAAAAAGCCTTTATTATAATGAATATCAATGCCTAAATTTATTTCGAACTGTTAAAAGTGAACTTGGCTTGGACATATATAACTTAGGGTACATATTTTCTGCAAAATTTTTAACTGCACAGTCAAATAAATATTTTTTCGCAGATATATGCTAGACTGTTTCGGTTCTATCAGTTGAACTTATTGGGGTTTAAAATCTTTGTAATGTACTGAGAAAAATAAAAACAGAAACCATTTTCTTCAGACGATCCAATTTAAACTTTTTTAAAAATCATTTGAACCAGTATTCTCAATTTATCATAAGCTAGATCCATAAACAGGTCATTGAAACGTTTCCATTAGGTGTATGATAATAAAAATACAGAACCGTTTTCAAAAATTTGAACGAAGAAAATGTTTCACATTTAAACTCACGTCTAAGGGGCTTTGGTCCTCTACTGTTCTACTGACTGGCTTGATTTCGCTTGGGTGATCAACATTTCTAACTTCCCTCAATTTTGTAAGTGACTTGAATGCCTGAACTTTTGAAGCAACATCTGGCGAACAGAACTCATCTCTTATAAACTGATCGGAAGAATTTAATTTTGTTCTTTTTGATTCTAAGAGGTCTCTATAAGATTGTTCTGGTGGCTTAGTCAACTTAGGTGGGATTTCACGGTGACATTCTGAGGGTATTGTAGGTATGAATTTCATTGTGTCATAAGTGCCATGAAGTCCACCTGAAGGCATAGCCATATTTGATCCAATATGATGTTCGAAAACAAGGGGATTTAGTCCTGAATAATGAGAGTCTATGGCATTTTGGAATGATCTGGACACTGTCTTATGAGTTGAGACTCGATCATGATTATTATCATTATTAACAAAACGCTTTAAGGAGCTCTTCTCAAAAGGGATGTATTCATATTCCCCCCGATCATCCAAGTCTGATGCAGTATGATTACATGATTCTGGACTGCTAGTATAGGCAGGAGAAGTATGGCGTGCAGGAAATTTGCTTCTCAAAGGTTTCTGCTTTTTACCGTTTGTAAGTCTATGCAAGTTCCTATAATCTTTAGAAACAACGGGTCCGTTTTGATTTTGAACGGCATTTAATTGAATGCGATTAAGCGGTTTTGCACTCAGTGTAATTGTTGGACGCTTATCATGTTGAGGTATTTTATCCGGAGGTTGTGCTCCATTCTGCTGAGTCACTAAGTATGCTAAGTTATATTTGTATTCATCATCAATAGTTAATCTTGAAAACTTTGTAACAAAAAGATGTTCAAGAGGTGTTACATCTACATTAGAATTCTTCGAAATACCACCGTTTTGTGTGATAGAGTGTGCAGGCATTGTTTCATAAGTTCCATTTCCATTAACTTCACAAAAGTGCATAACGCGTCATTTCATTGCATACAACAAAAACTTCAATATTGTATCACTGTTGAAGGTTGTGACTGTAGTACATTATAAGAAAAGTACATGCATTTCTAAGAGAGTAGACAGTGACTCTATATTAAATATTTTGGCTTGTTTTTCAGTATAAATATTATCTTTCTATGAATAAATCTACACGCCCCTGCACATGATTCCAATTGTTCAAAACAATTTCCAAGAAACAAATTTCAAGATTAGGATTCGACCATGTTGTAATCTTAGAAGTTTGGGTCTTTGATTAAGGAAAGTGTTAAACATGGCTAATTTGAAGCACGGATATCTAATATTATGTACATTTACGTCTATTAAACATATAAATGGTATTGTTTTTCTTTTCCAGTACGTATCTAATTAGCCTCCTTATCGCTTATTCAGTATAATTAATGGAGTCTTGTGCTTCCTTTAGACAGTTAATGGTCCAAATATTTGATCTGTCCAAGAATCAATTAGCGCATTCTTATTTTTAATGTAGTAACTGGAATGTAACAGATTATATACGAAGTGTGTCAAGTGTCCAGATAGGAAAATATCTTGAACCTGGCGGTGATAATAGAAGAATGATTGGTACCCCAGAAAACTATAAGCTGTAACTGACGAGATAACACCAGAAAACAGACTCCTCATTAGAGGACTCAGTAGTTCTTCGCCAACAGTGAGGCGGAACAACATGGTCGCAAAGCACAAAATCTACGAATGAACGTTAACATAAAACACAGTGACACTTCTGATCATTTTTCCCCAGTCTTCTGCCATCCAGAGTACTAGTGAGCAAGGGCCCGCATTGTTGTTCCTCGCCAAATGGAGGTAGGTGCTAATGAACAACACATATGCTGCTCATTCAAAGTTCCCCTTTACCACTAGGATGACACCACTGCTAAATGCTCTAGGCCTGCGGCTATCATGCCAACTTTTGTCGCCTGGGTTCTGTCATGAAGAAATGGTTATATCCACGCTAAGTCACTACATATGTATCATTACAAATTCTAAAGTATGTCCCAGTAGCTAGGGAAAGGGTTCTGGGGTTAGGTGATTCCCCAGAATTATTGGCCACGGTATTCATCACTGAACAGTGGACGCTAACCTTCACTGTTTAAGTCAAAATGTCTAGCTGAAGGCTTTCGGTCTAGCATCCACGACACTTAGCAAGCTGTCGTGTCACGTTTGTTCGTTCATGCACGATCCCTAGCTGGTTGAGCGATCAACTGGCACTCCTATTTGGTTCCGAAATATAACTCGTATTTGGTTTCGCTTTGCTTTTGGTGCACGCAGTACGGATACCATGGAAGTTGCGGGTGTTAGTTCCTGCGTTCTTATACTTCGTGAACATCAATATTTTCAGCCTCTGAATTGTAAATATCTTAAGTAATATTTCTATTATATTCGTCCTGCCATTGTTTTCGTAATTTGGTCCTGCCAACCGACCTTACCTTCAGTTCATACTACCTATATTGAACCCTAACTATATTGTTCTGCTGAATCTTGCTCCACTATTCACAAAACCTATTCTTGTTATTCTTCAAGGTTTTTGTCTTCTTATAAAGTAATCTGTTCATTAGGACGCATGCATACATATATAATATGTTCATAAAGATGTACGCGGAGACCTATTGGAAGCACTCATTAAGAAAGCTAGGGAGATGGAATATGGGGTACGAACATGTCTGGTACCAAGCAATATATATGCGGTAACCATAATAATCATAGTCTCAGAGCCTAACATCAAAAAAGGTGGGAGGGTGGAGTTAGCTGATCAGTAGATATGGTGGGGGTCACTAAGGTGAATCGCCCCATTCTGCAGGAACAGCATTAAAAAATTTGAAGGCTCGAGATATTTCTGGTTTTTATGAGGGCTTAAATCTTTATCTTGAAAAAGATAACAATGAACGCCTTGACAGATCATGCTTCTACCTTTAAATATATACCATTCACCCAGCCTATTGTTGAGATGCGACCATGTGGGATCTGCTCAGATTTATGGGGCATCTTATAAATTAACTTGCTGTCTATCGTCAGATCTTTTCATACCACTCCACAATGTCTTATCTCATTTATTTTCTGACAACGTCTTTACTTGATCCTCATTTTACTCCATTAAACTTAACATCTTATAGCTCTTCATTACTTATTATACTCCTACTCTCTGAAGGATACGGTTGTGCACTAAATGCACAAAAAGGTATAAAATAAAAACAACTGGCATGAGGATAATTGTATTAAAACCAAAAGTGGATATCATGATAGTTTGTGATATATCTGTAGCATTATACATTGCAAATGAATGTTGTTACCCTAGGGTGTTTCCTTTATTAATGCATTTATTAATGATACTTGCACTTACCTATCTCATTACAATTTAATGATTCACCTCAGCACTTTAATTTTTCTAAAACAGATTCCAATCCCTTGTAAAAGGTGCACTTACCTCAATATCGGTTGGTTATCGTATGCCTACAACCACGGGATGAAAACGGAACGAAGTCGATTTTCCCGCTCAACCTGGAGGACAACTGTACAATTCAATAACTATACGGCCTAATTCAGAAAATGAGTGTATTATATGCATCGAATATTTAACAGTTGAAATACGATTAACTTGTAGACAATCTACGATTTGATATTATATCATACTTGATCGTGCCTGTAAAAATGGCATGCATTTTCATGTAAATTTGTAAATTTTTATGAAATACATTATTATTATTATTATCTATCCAACAACAACCGTTGGCTTTTAGTTTGTCTGTTTTGCTGAGGCTTTATTTTGTATATTGACGTTGATGTCACCCAACATGTAGTTATTTTCACAGGTTATTTCGAGAATCGAGGGTGGATGCGCTATGGTGCCATCCGAGAACTAATGGTTGAGAAGTTTACTGAAAATCTGGGGATAATCATTAATTACTTCATGTGCCACATGGCTAACGTTGTTATCTTTGCCCCATTTTATTCATTTTCGCAAGATCTTGCAGAGTTTCCAACTTCTATGGAAGCTCACAGGGGCTCCATTTTCCTCGAGTTATTCCTTCACTTTCTGTCTCTCCCCAAGATTTTTAAATGTTCAAATTTTCAATCTAATGCTCACTAGAGACTGTTTCTATTCAGGCAGTAGCCTAGGGTCCTAGTGGGAAACCATGACCAGTAAGGTACAGCAGGTTGAAGATGAGACAGTAACTAACCGAAGGAAACGTTGAGAAATGATCGCACTGTTTCGTGAATTGGCAAAAGTTAGAATTCATGGGCCATTGGATCGGGTCCCAGTAGCTCAATGGTCTAAGGGCTAGCTTGCCTTGCAACCGGAATGTCGTGGGTTCGAACCCTCCTGGTAGGTGTGTAATGCTGTAAATCAAAAAAGGGGGCTAATGAAACAGCTGTTCAGCACTCCCAGATTTTCCAGTGGTTCTCCAGGTGATGTCAGCTCATCATGAAATTCTCCATCCAATTTTTGAATGTTTTATGTATCTGGAGTAGTGCACTAAATTCTTGAAATACTTAAAATTTTCTTTCCAGTTTCTTCAGTCTTAGTCGCGTTATACGGTTTATGAATAGAATCGGTGTCTTTGCGGAAGATTTGAGGGGTGCGATTGTGTTTCTTACCTGACCGATAGTTTCATCGAAGGTATTAAGTGTTACTTTTCAGTTAACGTTAGTAAAGTATCCTTTACAAATGGAACTTCCCAAGAGCACTGGTGAGAATTCCCAATAGGTGTTTCCATGGTCCCTATATTGATAGTAATCCGGTGAATTTTTAGGTGTATATTTAGTCATTAGTTGAAGGGGTAGAGTGCAGTACATTTTGTTGTGATCCCTATGATCGAGTTTATCCTTCCTCTCTATAGAGGTCGGCTCTATTTTGTGACAGAGGGTTGAGTCCAAAATATTGTTGCGTCGTGTTGGGAGGCGTGCACACTGCTTCCATTCTACTACATCTATACCTTCTAGGTGCTCTTCGCGGATCCTAAGTTCAGTACAGGTGTCGCAGTTCACTCCGGAGTAGTTTAAATTTCCACAACGTATTTTGTGGTCGAATTCCAGCTTATGTACATGCTCGAGCATTTCTCCGATAGCAGTGTCAGTCGTTTTAGGGTTGCTAAGGGCTCTGTATATGCATCCAACGAGGATTTTGTTTTCATTGGTGTAGAGGCCTATCTACATAGATTCTGAGAGTTCGTCGATAGTTGGGTTGGTAAAAGTATTGGAGTCAGTAGATTTAGAAGCACATATTACACACCAGCCTCCTTTTCGTCCACTCTATCATCTTTGTGGATGTCACAGTTATCAGTTACCAGCTTTGTATCAGGTAAGCTATCAGTTAGCCACGTTTCAGTTACCACGATTAGTGTTGACTGTTCTATGCCTGTCAGGTTGTGAAGTGTTGTTATTTTCTTAAAGGGAGATCAAGAATTTGGGAGAATCATTTTCAGAAAAACAAAGTTGTTGGGGGAATAGTCAGCAAGTTATCTTGTTACCACTCCTAATTCTCGGTTGCCTATGTTATGTTTGGAGGGATTCTGAGATGAGACAGCGTCAGCGTGTCTGCTATTCCCTGAATGAACTGTGCAGTAGAAGGGCTCTTATTTGCTACAACACATTAAACTTTCAAAAAGATTATTGCGAAACAACACAGTGCATAAACAACAAGTGAGTCGGGATCATCCAGATAAAAACTTCGGCTTATGTAATTCTTTAAACACATATACTCATAGTACATCTAATTTCATGGACCATGCCTTGATGTACTACAACTAATAATTGAAGGGCTCAAAGCAGTACGCCTGAAAACCCTCTAGGGAGGAAGATTCTAAGATGGAAAACCGTCGAAAAATCTGAACCCCCAACTTACTCTCTTACAGTAAACAAAACTTTCTAATATCTCAAACCGAAAAGACACACTAAGTCCTCATCTCAACAGTTATAACCGACCCATCACTACTACACAGGTTCTTTTCTACCACTGCTACAGGCTGCCTACATTTTGCAGCCTTATCTGTTACTGGGACTTTACCAGATAATTACAACT